GATATTTCTTTGGCACGGATAAGGGCGTCGCTACGTAATAACCCAAACATTTCATAATTAATGCACACCATTAGGCACGGGTGTGGCCGTGCCTAAGTTTGATCCAATAAAAAAGACTGACACACTTGCAGAGGCTATTAATGTAGCCCCAAAAACCGAAGAGTTGAATGTGTTTGGCACGGAAAAGGCCGTGCCTACGTAATTATTCAAACTGTCGCGTATTTACTGCTCGGTGTAGGCACGGATTTCGACGTGCGTATCGTCGTGCCAAATGTTAAGTATATAATCGCCCCTTAACACTTTTTCCCCGTTTTTTCATTACCCACTCCGCTCCTCCTACTATTCTCTTTCTCCAAAGCCGTAACTCCTCCGCCCTCCTCCCTCACAACCCATTCTCCTATCAATGTCTTCAACAAGGAGCACTTCCTTCCGCGGTAGCATTCGCGGTAGGGGAAGCTTTCAGCGTTCTCACTCTCGAGCACCACCAGAATCGCCATCTACCACTACCCCTCAGTCTATATTCAATGTCGGTGGCGACTTGGAGGCTGAGGTCGAGGTCGAGGTCGAGGGCGAGGGCGGAGGAGGCGGCGGAGGAGGAGACGGAGTTTCAACGGAGGCTAGTGCAGTGCCGTACGGGGATCTTCCGCGCTTGATCACTAAGGCCGAACTGAAGGGGTAATTTTTTGCATTTTATTATCTCATTTATTATTTGTATGAGTATTTAAGTTTTTAATTTTTTTCCAGCGAACAACCTGTCCTAAACACAATTAAAGGCATAATCAAAGAAAGTTTTCATGGGCCGTGGAATACCTACACAACCGCCCCCAAGGAAGTTCGTCAGCGATGGTGGAACCTGTTTCGTGTAAGTATTTTTTTTTGAAATACACTTAGATGATTTATTCTAATACTGAATTAATTTTATGACTTTATAGCTTCGTTACACCTGGTTGCCTGGGGCATACCCGGCGGACACTGAAAAAATCATGAGGAGCGCCTTTAATACCCGTGGGTCCGTATGGTTGACGAAGAGGTTCATGAATGCACGAAACAAAAATAAGAAGCCGAGTTTTGTGGGAGAAGATCACTGGGAAACGATGGTTAAGTATTGGGCAAGTCCGGATTTTCGAGCAAAGAGCGTGAGGTCGAGCAAGAACCGAAACACGGAGAAGGCAAAGCAAAGGCAATATTATGGGGGGGGCGTCGTTCTGTGAGCGAGCACATCAAGAAGATGGTAAGTGTTTTTCTGTAGTCTTTACTTACTTATGTCAATTTTTTATTTAAATTTAATTGTGAATAGGAGCAAGAGGATAAAGTCGTTCCAAATTAACTCAAGGTCATTAACCGCTTGTTTGTGAAGAAGGGTTCCGAGCCGTCTCAAGAAGTTGCTAAAATCAAGGTTATTTATTTATTTGAATGCTATTAGTAGATATTGTTTACACAAAAGTTTTAATCACATTTTAATTAGTTCTTTAAATTGTGATTTATGTAGAAAGACTACAAGGAGAAGCTCCTTCTAAAGAAGCAAGCCGCATCCGGATCGGGGTCTAATTCTATAAGTCTTGATGATGTTGCTGAGGAAGAACTAGAAGATGACCTTGGGTTGTACGTCGAGGTGGTGGGGAACAACAAGAACCGGGTCTTCGGGCGGGGCTGTGAAGCTAGATCCTCGGAATCACTTTCTTCGGGAGGCACTAGTCATGAAGACTACGCTGCCCGGCTGAAGACCGAATTGGAGCTGAAATTGGAGAAAAAATTTGAAGCAAAATTTCAGGAAAAAAGTGCCGATTTAGAGAAGAAATATCAGGCTCGATGCCATGATTTGTTAAGTCAATTTCAGGGGTTGAAAGCGTCGGTCAATTATTTGACCCAAGGCCTCAGTTTCCAGGTTCTTCGTCCGACAGTGCAACCCCCACGAAGTCCAAGCCCTTTGCTTCATCAACATATGACCCCATCTTATTATTGTGCCTCACAGCCCTTGATGTCTCCCGTGCCTGTTTTTCAACAACCTATAGTCGTCCCCCAAATGCCAAACGTTCAATCGGGGGGCAAAATTCAAATAGCTGTGATGTTAACAGTTTTCTAAACAATGAAAATCTTTAATTATTTATTAACATTTGTGTGTGATCTTTGTTTGGATGCTAGACATTACTTTCATTGTGGACATTAATTTTATTTTTACTTTATTATGCTGCGAGTGATTTATTACGTATTTGAATTATGGTGTGTTATGAATTATTTTTTTATTTTCGATTTTGTTTTTTTATATTTTTTCAAAAACTAAGGCACGGATAAATCCGTGACAAAATTAAATTTTTTTATTTTTTTTGAAATCCAAGGCACGGATATGCTAGTAACAAAATATTTGAATTTCGAAATTTAATCCCCGCGTATTTGAAAATTTTGAATATTTTTGAATATTTTGAAAATTTACAAAATCAAGGCACGGATATGGCCGTGACTAAAAAATTGAATTTCGAAATATAATCCCCGCGTATTTGAAAATTTTGAAATTTTTTGAATATTTTGAAAAGTTCCAAAATAAAGGCACGGATATCTACGTGGCTTTTTTGGCACGGAAATGTACCGTGCCTATTGCAATATTTTATAAATGCTATCGGGACAAAAAATCCGTGGTTTAGTCGTGCCTAAATACGAACGGGGCGATTCCCACGGGCAGATCCGTGCCTAATATCTTTAACGTTATTCTCGCAACCGTTACCTTGGAACGAATTTATTACAAGCGACGCCGTCTCTATTGTTGGCACGGACGAGATTTCCGTGCCAAACAGTTTGGAGCTTCGAAATTGGCAGCCTTTCGTATCCGTGCCAAAACCCGTGCCTAATAGCATAGCCACGGGAAACTAAAACTGTTGTCCGTGCCAAAAGCCGTGCCAATCCCGCGTTTTTTTGTAGTATTCGTTTGCGTATACATATATTTTCGGAATGGGTAAATCCATTACTATTTTTATCATATCTTTGTTGCATTTTTCTTCACGGTCGCATTCACATTTATAACATAATTCCTAATAAAGCCTATGCTGGCAAATAGAAGGGTCTATATATAATTATATACGGAGTATGTATATAACAGCTTGAAGACTTTAATCATATGCAACATTAAATTTGAGCAGGTAAAATAAATGGACATTTTAGAGCTTTGTAGTAAATTTACTTGATTTATATTCATGTGGTTGGATTTCAAGGCATAGGGGTAACTACTCTATATACTCTCTATGAATAAGCACAGAAGGATCATTGGCAAGAAAAAATGGTGTTAAATTTCATCTTAATATTGTTTTTCAATCAAATAAGAAAAGCTATCTTTAACACTATATACAATTGAAAGAATTTGAAACGAAAATGAAAAACAATTTTTCTTGTATAATTAGAAAGAGAAAGAATAGAAAATTCAAAAAAATTGAGAAGAAAAAAAATCAAATTTCTCTCGCATTAGAAATGAAAATAAAAACAATATTTTCTTTTCTTTTCCTTCCAAATGTATTTAACCAAACAAAGTGTAAATAATCTTCCTAATTTTTTTGGAGTCCCTAAATAATCTTAACTTTTCTTAAGAGAAAAGAGTTAAATGTCCAAAAAAAAATCTCTCTCATCAAAAATTCTATCCTTTTTTTTACTTTTCAAAATGGAAAGAGTATAAATCACGAGTCTATTTAATGACTATAAGAAATATGAGTTTTAGAGGTGTTCGTGAGTGTGGTAGATTATTGAAAAAGTAAAAATTTTAAGTTGAAGCAGAAAACAATTATTTTTAACTTTGTTTAAAAGTATTTTTAGAGCTCATTTTAGACTGTAGAAGTCATAATCTATAAGCATAAGCATATTGACAAACACAATAAATATTATTTTAGTGAAGCAAAAGCTCATAAATTGTTTTTAAACACAACCTAAACGCCCTCTTAATATCGAGATCATTTTTGGGAGCGTCTTGTGAAACCAAAATAGAATTTGGATTTAATATGTTCTGTGTAATATATCTTCTAAATTCGGACTTGAACTATTAGCATTCTAACAGAAAATGAGAAGTTATTCTTTATTTAAGACAGGGCACTACTAGCACCCACGCTCGAAGTTGTAGAAATGTTAAATGAATTTGTCTTATCCCTCATTCCCAGAGATGAAATGGTGTACTTGAGTTCTGATTCATCATGCCAAGCAGATTCAGATGTAGGTGTTGATGGCGACTGGATAACAGTTGAGTTTTTGAATGAAATCAAATGTTCGGGAATCCCAAACCACAGGATAGTTTTAAAAAAAGGGGTACCAATTATGTTACTTAGGAACATTGACCAAACATCTAGATTGTGTAATGGTACAAGATTAATTGTTGACGAGATGCGAAAGAATGTTATTGGTGCTATTGTGGTTTCGAGAAATCGAGTGGGCGAAAAAGTTTACATACCCCAGATGAATTTGGTACCGTCTGATCCAGGACTACCTCTAAAGTTCTAGAGAAGACAATTTCCAATAGTCTTATGTTTTGCGATGACTATTAACAAAAGTCAAAGTCAAACATTATCATTTGTTGGATTATTTTTAACCAAGTCAGTGTTCATTCATGGTCAGCTCTATGTTGCTGTTTTGCAAGTGAAGAGAAAGACAAGATTAAAAATATTTGTCTTAGATGACAATGGAAATCCTTGCAGCCATACCAAAAATGTTGTATACCTTGAAGTCTTTCAAAAAATTTGGTATTAAAACAAACTTTGTTATGTGTAGATTCAATTCCTCATATATTATTCTTTTTACTTTGCCTTTTTTTCTGTATTATTATAAATCATGCATGAGGTATATTTCCTTTATTCCGGAAAAAAATATTACATTGAATAAATTCAGAATCGACAAGATATTCGTCTGAACCCGTGCGTGGCACGGGTAGGAATACTAGTATATCTTTTAAATTCGGACTTGAACTATTAGCATTCTAACAGAAACGGCTCGGCTCGCTCGGCCGCTGAGAATCTATCAAACTCAATAAGATATATAAGAATTTCTCTATATTTCACTTTTTGAGCACAAAATGGCATATATAGAACTAAGGAAAGGCTACGACTTATTCAGAGAATTAGAGTATGTATGATTCAATATTCAAAACTAAACTTTTGCCAAATATCAAAAACACTGCATGGGGTTCTCAAAAGATTTGTCATTTTTCTGCCTCTTTTACGCCTGTATTGGCCTCTTTTCTATGTAGCGGCGCCTTGTCTCTGCTGGTCTCTCATAGTTCATCCTTTACATCACCATAGGCGGTAGTCGTCTCATGGACTGGAGGTGGGGGTGGGGGTGGGGGTGGGGGTGTTTCCGCCTCCGGTTTCTTAGGCAAAACTGCCTTTTGAATCTTGAAAGGAATGGATGCATTTTTCTTCAAGAATTTGTAGAAGGCCACTACAGTACGGTCTGTGTCCACCGTAAGCTGTGAAGGGCAATGCCATCATATTACTCCCTATATATGCACACATAAATTCTCAACAAAAGGAAAGAGTTGGGAATAACTAAGTACTACTCACGGGCTCAAAGCTCTTGTTCCCGGCTGGGAAGAATAGCAGAGTCGGGAATCCATCAGACTGCAACCAAATAAACAACTTGCATTTGTTAGTTATTCTTATAATTGTAATCATGGAAGTCATGAGATGGAAGAAAAAAGGTTGAAAGCCACGGAGCCTTTTCTTGCGTGTAATGTCTGGGGCCACTCAAACAATTCGTTTCCTCATCACACCAAAGCGAACCGGTGGGATTACGCACATGTCAAACGCTTTAGTGTGGTGCACTGAAGCATTTCGCTTAGAATGCACACCGCTAGAATATGTTTGGTTCTCGGTAAATAATACCATGGAAATTGCATAGCTAAACAATTATGTGAAGGAAAGTCATTCAATCGTCTTTAAAATTTTAGCATGGAAAATGAAATATGATTATCTAGTACTCCAGTTTACAATAAGATTCGTATGAACAAATATCTTAAAACAAATTTATTTGAGTTTCAGCTTATCCTTTTCATTCTCCCTCAAATTTTCTTTCCTTCCATTTTCTCCTCTATTCTTTTTTTTAGCGAGTAAACTTCAAATGACCCCTACAAAATCAAGCATGGAAACCAAGTCATTGTATATACAATCCATCTAATACATAAAGTACCTTTGCTCTAGGGTGCTCATTGGTCGTCCCATCCATCTTGGCAATAACAAGCGAGTCAATGCCCTTCAAATGCTTGGCGAGCTTGTTGTATACAGGTTCTAGACTTTGACAGTGCCCGCACCAAGGAGCATAAATCTAATATTTAAATCCGCAAACACTCAAAGTTAGCATAATATTGTGGTAAACACACCAAGATCAAGATGCATGATTGGTGCCCGTACTGATATAGGTACCTCAAGAAGAACATCTTTAGATTCATCAAGAACAATTTCGTCAAAGTTATTGCCAACCACGATTTTAACATCCCCGTCATTCTGTGTCAGTAATATAATATGTGAGCATAGAAATTTGGATCCAACAAGGCTTGACTACTTATTGAAGGGTATGCACCAATTCACTTACATTCTCTGGAATAGGTTCCGACTTGTAAAAGGGCTTTAGATTGTCTTCCAGAAACTTCTCCCCAAAGGACTGTATGACAAAGTAGAACAATGAATGGAAGAAAAAAACTGTTTGCTAGTTGCTAGTATGTGCCCATGATATCTTTTATCTTTAAAATGGTNATGATCACAATGCAAATCCTTTTCTGTGAAGGATAAAATATACGAGCATCACATATAAAAGCTCCATCAATGGCTGTTTTTACAGGTGGAGTTCCTTAACTGATTTCCTCATTGGCATTAAAAGGAACCATTAAATTATGAAATAAAGCACAAGGACTTCCTATAATTCAGACCAATACTATACATTAAAAAGGCCCAGATTAGAGATTCACCTGTTTCTTAATTGGATTTTCAAATATTTGTGGTGCGGTTTCTCTGGTGAAGTAGTTGACAAGAGGAACCTTGTTCTCATAAACAAATTCAGATATTGCTGATTTCGTGAACACGCCATCTGTAAGAACATGAGGAAATTGTGAGTACTTCCGTCTTTGAGAATAACTTTACAACATCTTTAGAGTCTAAACCACACCATCTGGAAAACTAACCAAAAAGGTTAATTTTTTCAGCTTCTGTTTTAATCATAACAAGGGCCGGACGTTTGACTTCCGGATCAAGATGGAACAGCTTAGCTACGTCAGAATTGGAAGTTTGATAGAAGATGACATCATCTTCAAGTTTTGCAGCAGAAGCAAGTTCATCACTGTATGATCCCTGTGAACATTATAAACAAATATATATAGACACACGGAAAGAATATGTGATTGGAATAAGTATAAATTTGTTGAAACCTATGAAACAAGAATGATTAAACCCTGCAAATCAAAAATCAAATCTAATACGCTGCTGATCAAACTTAGTTCCATTGGAATAAGATTAAAATGAAACAAACAAAAAGCTTCCTATTTGTGATTGACTAATAAGAAACAAAAAGTTAATAAAACTATAAAACTCATCAGAAAAGGGCATTTGTAGAGTTTACCACCAAGCTGTCCAAAAATCCCAAAACAAGTTTTGGCTCAGTAGCCAAGATGTGCTCTGCATCCTCTATCGTTGTTATGTTGAATAGAGCTGATCCGGTCTTCTTCTTTATCCATGCAACAATAGCCTCTCTGCAAATAGAGCATATGTGGATTATATTATCAAGAAAATTTTCCTCAAAGTTTTCAATCTGATGTGATGCATTCTACCCCTCATGTAGGAAACTAAGAATTATATGACAAGACCTTTTTCTATTGGAAATTTGAGGTGAAGACATTCGATTTTCACTTATTTTTGTTGTAACGTTTAGAAATGGAGAATACAATTTCTTCAATTTCCCCTTAATTTCCTTCTTTCCTTCAAAAACTGGATTCGCGAATTGGCAAATCCAATATCAAATACAGTTATACAGAGAATCAGAAACCGTATTTTATGTGTATATAAGCCTATGCAAGCAAATGACTAAAAAGCTACTTAATTACTTGGTTCGTTGGCCATTGTAGGGCTTGTGAACACCATCAACAAATAAGTAGACGGTGGGGAACCCCTGCACTTCATACTTCTGCGCCAGCTCAGCCTCCTCCGTAGCATCCACCTTCGCCAGCGCCACCTCCTCGCCCTTGAGCTCAGTGGCCGCGGCCGCGTACTCCGGTGTTAAAGCCTGGCAGTGTCCGCACCACGGCGCGTAGAACTCCACCATCACGTACTTATTCTTCGCGATGAACTCGCTGAAATTGCCCTCCTTCAGCACCGCCACGTCCTTCTCGTCCACCTCCGGCGGCTCGTAGGAGCCGTCGTCGTCGTAGCCGTGACCCAAGGCCTCCGGATCTTCCTCTAGATCGTCGTAGTTCTCGAAGTCGTGGTGTTGTCCGTACGGATCGGAATGTGAGAAATCGGAGTCGCCGTCTTCCTCCAGGAAGCTGAGATCCTCCTCTTCCTCATTGGCCGCTGCTCTGTTCTTGCTCTCGGCGCACGACGCTGTTCGGGAAGATATGAGGAACAGTACGAGAACGGATAGAACTGCAATCGATTTCGGGGAAGCCATTGTAGAGGGAATCGAAGACAGTTGACACTCTCAATCCGGTAGGAAAACAAGAGAGAGAGAGAGAGAGAGAGAGAGAGAATTTTTGCCGCTTGCGGAAATCCAAGCAGCGTCGCACAGAAAAGGCGCGTCTGGGTAGAGGGCGGCGCGTGCGGGCGTGTTGTGATATGGTTTGGAAGTAGTTGGACTAATGGTGTAAAAACACGCAATAAGAGCATCTCCAACCACAATTGCTAAACATGGCTTGCTAATGTCATTTTTTAGCATGTGAATAGTGGTATAGCAAGCCATTTTGCATTGTCATCTCCAACCTTTCCTTTCTATAATTTAGCTAACAATTATATTATATTGTTTTTACTATTATAATACACTCTTTATAATAATTATTCAATTATTATTTTATATTATAAAAATTTAGTAATAAGTATGTAATTTAAAAATAATAATTTCAAAAAACAATACGGAGTATTATTTTACGTACTTTAGGGAAAATAATAAAATATACGGAGTATTATTTTAAATATTTAATAAATACCAATTAAAGAGTAGAGAAAAAAA